CGACGTGGCACAAGCCGGAGTCAGCCTCGCCCCAGCGTTCGATCCTGCTGTTTCGCCGCCGTCGACGCTATCCCTTTTTTTATTTCGTTTTGGGCACGAGTTCGCCCCCATTAAACATTTAGTTTTCTTCAGTTTTCGTCGCCTCATCAACTGTCATTCGTCATAATATATAACGCGCCTCCTCTATACCAGTGGCGGATCCAAGGGGGGGGGGGGGGGGGGCGGTGGGGGCGATCGCCCTCCCCCCCCCCCCCCCCCCCAAACGCCTCGCCAGGCAACCCCCCCCGGGGCTCTTCGTCAGCTCGAAGAAAAAGCGTATCGACGCGAGAAACAAAAGATAAAAACAGCGGTGGGTGGACGCGCCAGCTGGGCGCTTCCAAAGTGGGGTTTATCTCCGTCAAGGTCACGGTACGTCTTCCCGACAGGGACGGCGCCAGGAGTTTCGAAGTGGAGAGAGAGTGGGGAGGCGCACCAAATATCAGGGTCCTCGACTGCAGGCACACTTCCAAACAAGGCCAGCACGCTGAGCACGGGGGGAATATACCTTCAACATATCTAGTCCCCTTTCTCTCTCTCTCGCTGTCTCCCTCTCTCTCTTTGGAGGTTGTCTGCGAAAAATTTTTGCCCTGAAAGTTCCCAAACGCAGACGTCAAGCAGCCTTCCTCAAGGGTAGCGGATTATCCTTCCTCTCTAGCGGCCGCCTTTTCATCACTTTTCGTTTGATGGTTTCTTCGTGGTTCTGGGCTTGTCTTTTGCCATGTCTTTTTTGGCTTGCTTTGAGATGCTGTCGCCCACGGGCTCACTAAAGGTATCTTATCTTATCTTATTTTAGGGAGGTGCGGAGGGGACGTACCGGGAGACGTTCCAGGGGGGGGGGGGAAGGGGGGGAGGAGGATGCAGCTTGTACAACCAGGTGACCAATTGCTTTTCTTCTCAACTGAGAGAGGAAGCAAATGCTCTGGGTACAGCGTAGTCTGGGTCTGAGGTTCTCCTGAAGACGCTCCGGACTTCCCCACGACCTTGGCTTAAACATAAGCCCGCTTACGTCCTCGCCTCCATCCCTCACTGAGGACCAGCGCCGCAGCGCGGAATACAGAAAGAAGCCGACGAGTGCCAGAAGGGGGAGATGTTTCCTCTAATGGACTTCATACTGCCTACGGTACGACTTCTCATGGCGGGAAGCTAATAAAAGAAAGATAAACGGTACGAGCACTCTAAAGGCTAAAGGCTGCTTACACGGTGTCCTCAAGCCGACGCCGTAGGCATTTATTTGTATACAATGCCGTTTCAACTTAGGGTGGCGGGACATATTTTAGGAAAGGCGCCCGCTACCCGTTCTCTCCCCTTGGCGCCGTCTTTTCCAGTTAAACGCGGCTTATGTATTTTGACGGCAGAGCTTTCGCGCGGCTTTGCAGGAGCGAATATGTGTGTGTCGAACGGACTTGGGGAAAACGAGCCCTTTCAAAGATGCGGCTATACATAAATTAAATAGACAGTGCCTGTGCCCGTTTGAGTGAACACCGACTTTCAAACATCCATGCTGCAGTCGTGATCGACCTTTAGCCCAGTTAAGATTCGCCGACCTTACAACCGCTCTGCCCTATCATATCTCTGCACCTGTCCTCTCGACCCTGACGAATGAGCTAACTACCCAGAAACAAGTAAGTGTTCCTTTGATACAGAAAATACACAGACGAAGTACAATCGAATATAATTTGGAAGGATCCATTGCTGGTTTAAGGTCTTGTCTAAGTTCAAAAGTTATAGTTGCCGAACTGCAACATGCTTTCAAAAATATCCAACAATTATTCGCTTTCGTTCTCTCGAGTTGCATCCAGAACACGTGAAAACACGAGTTTGGGTAGGCAATGCCGCATGTGCTGCGCTCTGGACATTCCAAATATACGGCGAACAACCGACGAACTTGCATGGCAGCGTTCGTATCGCTCGCTGAGTCAACAGTGTTTCGACGCCGCGAGCAGCGTCGAAGCCGCCGAGCCATTTTTGTCGCTTGTTTGCGCTGTACTCGCTCCGCTCATTTAAGCCGCTCTTCCCGTTGCCGCAGCAGTTGAGCACTAGCTCCAACCAGAATGTCTGCCAAGGCAATGTCTTTAAGCTGCCCTCGACTGCTCACGTAGTGTCGGTCTGAAACCCAAGTTTCAGAAAGGATAGTGTCACCACAATTTTCGAAATGCTTACCTCTAGCGTGGTCACCTGAAAGGTTTTAATTCAAAGAGTTCATTCCCGACAAATAAACCGATACAAAAGCTCTCAAGATCTATATTATGTTATCACAGTTTAGTAAAAACGATAACTCCACAGAAAATATAAACACTCCCCCCCCCCCCCCCGCCGTTTTACACCGAGGAACCTTCCCCCCTTCCCCCCTTCCCCCCCCCCCCCCCCCCCCCCCCCCAAAATGGAGGCCTGGATCCGCCCCTGCTCTATACTCAAAGCCTGGCAGTTCGATGACTGAGCCACGATACCCGGTCGCAGATTTGGAGCGCGAGTATCTGGTAGCACCAATGATGTTCCATACCATGTCCAAGAATTCCCTTGCTTAGGTACAATAATTAATTCCCTTTTTGAGGTACTTTTTCCCTGCAGAATTTTGAAATATCCCCGCATATTTCCCGGCATTTAATGCCTTTATTTTCGCATCAGCTGAATTTTGTGGTCTTGCAGGCCACTATGCGCGCATTTTACCACAAAAGCTGCGTGAAATCGCATGTTTAAAAAGAAGAAAATGTTACTGCCCTATCGAGTATGTGGGTTAAGGAACTGGGATTTCAGGTTTCCCAAAACAATTCCAGTTAGATTTCCAGGTTTATGAGTGAAAATTTATACCGTCTTTTTGATAAGGTGGTCAGTTTATACTTTTATTAACTAAATAATATAACATTTAGCAGTGTTTGGTAAAGTACATCTAAAAAGTACTTGGTGTAAAGTACAGAGAAAATGAGGGGTTATGTACTTCAAGTAAAGTAGTAAGTACATCGGGTGCAATTTACTTCAAGTTAAGTACTATAAATATCATGTACTTCCAAAGTAAATTACAAATACTTTTTAACGTAATCTTTCATGGGGGTATTCGAGGGTGTATCAGTTATTTTTTAAAATAAAGTGGCCACGGAGTAGTCATCTCACTCTCGATGACCCAACTATTTAACGCCGTTTACTTGCATCGGTCTTATTGCCGCCATTACTTCCCTCAAAGAAATTATTAAAGACATCTTGAAAAAAAAACAATAGCGTGTTTTTACATAGCAATACACTTTTCTTTTTCTCAAATTTGGAGAATGTATTGAAGTCTGAAGTTGTACTTTTGATCGGAAAGTACCGTGAAAAAAGTACTTCGAATAATGTACAAATACATACGCGGGGAATGTACTTCAAGTTGAGTAGAAGTTTCCTAAACCTACTTAAAAATGAGTCGTTAAGACACCTTTTTCCTGCACCACAACTTTCTTTCTCTTCTTAAAAACTTTTGCACCACTCGACCTTTTATTGTGTTTAGCTCCCTTTGAAGCTTTTCCCGGATTCCCTCGTTAATTCTTAAAATTCCCTGCAAACATGTTAAAATTCACATTTCCCTTTTCACCAAAATTGAGACCGGAAATTCCCAGAAAAAGGGAAAATTCCCTGCATGGAACATCACTGGGTAGCGCAGAGTATTTCTCGGGGAGCCTGTATTCAGTGCCCAGCTTTTGCAGCGGCGAGGATCCGAAGCATGGTTTCCAAACCTGATGAGAAAAGAAGCGGTAGCCCGAGGAATGAGGGAATCACAAGCGGACAATCAATTGCTCGGGACAAGTGTGTTTTGGCATCTGACCGCAGCGGGGCGCCCGGTACACGTTTCTACCGCTTTTACCTCTCCACTTTTAGTAGCCGCGTTTCGTGGCGATCTGCCAGGCTTCGTCATGTATAGAGGAGGCTACGCTACAGCACACATACAAGTGCTTGGATAGCCTCGCAATAAATCCGCTGAAAGACTGCTCCTGTAAACTGTTTTCCACTAGTACTAGTGTAAATACCCCTTAGAATTATTCCTCGATGTTCATAACCCACGGAAAATGCGTTACAATTTTGCCACATAATGGCAGCCTTAGAAAAAATTCTACTTTTTTCAGTTCTCACCCTCAACTCTCAACTCTGAACCAAAACAAGCGGCCACATGATTTAGAACCTATTATATGCTGCCAATGTTTATCATAGCCCAGTGCTCGGGTTGGCAAAGCACAGGGCATGCACTCCACACGTCAAAATTCTGCGATTCTGATCATCGCAGTGATTGGGCACCAGCCACTAGCTGCCAGCGCATGTCGAGGCACAAGAATCCAAATCCAATGCTCGTGCAGTGCTCGCGTCCCCACTGTATGAGCCACATTGAAACATTGCCACTGCAGGGATTGCAGAGCTCGACGACTAAACCCTGGATATTGCATTGTTGACAATGAAGTTGTGATCGCATAGCAACGTCAACAATGTTTGCCCCCACCCCCCACTTCATCATAAAGTTTTGCAAAGGAGAGACCGAAAGAAAACTTTCGCTTTTATCATTGAAATTACATGGCAACAGAAACTTCTTGGTCTGTGCAATTGTCCGAGAGTATACTTTGTTCCCATTGGGGTCAGCAAGTTCGAGTAAAGTGAGAAACGTTCCTAACCAGTACATGGCTTGCACCGACATCGCATCGCATACTTTTGACACCATTGAAGAGGAGAAGGAAGCTGCTTTTGTAAGATCTTGAGTGATCCTGAGAGGTTATTCTTCGATAATCTTCTGGGAGGAGAATAGCGAGTCTGTGCGAATCCAGGAGGCACAAAAGAGGATCCTGATAAGAGGGGAGCTCTTTTCCCTCTTCTCTGGTGGTCATCCGAGCGCTTTTTGAACGACTTAAAGTGCAAGCCACGTATATTGTTGCACGGCTCTTTAGTCATACTAGTAGGTATTGGCACAGCAACACCTGAGCACTTTCTCATATGGAATAAAACAGCGATCATTTTAGTGAAAATTTATTGAGAACATAATATTAAAGGTGTGGCAAGAATACATATCTTTTCACCGGACGGCAGACCATCCGAGCAGAAATGCTATGACCCCTGGTAAAGTATGGGGCCCTTATTTCAACTTAAACCTTGAGGACTTCCTGCACCGCCTTCACGATGTGAGAACTGCTGATGCCAAACATGTCCAGGAGGGCAGCGCTGGGGCCGCTGCGAGGAATGCCACGAACAGCCAGGTGCTTCACCACGATGTTCCTCTCCAGGGCAATGGCCGAACAGACCGCATCCCCGAGACCACCTAAAAGAAGGGGACGTGGGCACGTTAACTAGGCCAAGCACAGGGGAGCCAATACGTGGAAAAGACGGACAACTACCCTCCCTGCAAGGCTTGGCTGGATTTCGGAGAGGCCGGGAGAGTGAGAAGGAAACCACAGGTTCTCAGCAAAGTGGCAAATTATTTTGGATGGCTGGCTCAAGATTTACTCGACTGTTGTGTTTCTCACGAAACAGCCTACAAATTCCACTTTGACAGCTCCACAACCAAAACAAAAAAGAGCCCCACCAGTGAATGTAACCCCATGACCATCAAATAAAAGGACTAATTGGCTAGCTTGCACAAATAGAGCAAAGTTGCCGAAAAAGTAACTAGTAATTGACAGCATGCAAGAATAAACTACTGGGTAAGGGTGTTAATGGGCACATTATCGGGAGGTTGTATTTCGCTTGACTTAATTTAGTAGATTCCATTCATTTGGCTGATAATTTAAGTTAGCTGGACATGAGTTGGCGTTCAAAAATTTTGATACAATCAGCCAAGCACCAACCAACCACAGGCCACAGCCAAATGCCGATGCAGCACTCCTATGCCTAAAGCTTGGTAGAGGAAGAAAAAAAATCAACCACACAGGCCTTGCATTCAGTACATACAGCAGACTCGTTCAAACTCCAGGAAGTCAGATTTCAGTTTATATTATCAGAAATTCATATAAATATGATACTAGACATGATTTGTTACATACAAAGCAATTTTTGCCAGTTTCCTCTACATAGGCCTAATTACGAGCAAGTACAGGCAGAACACAATGGTGAAAGAACTGCAACGTTACTGTTTAGTCAGCACATGTGATCTCAAAACAAAATTTTCAATACCAGCCAACGCAAGTACCTCTTTACGGGAGACTCTTCCTTTGCAGACAGAAACTTCCAAAGCTGAGCGATGTGGTCAAAGGCCTCTGCGGCTGTGACAGTTGGTAGTGCATCATGCCTTTTTTCATCGTCATTTTCACACTCACTGCTGCACTGTGCTGGCAATACTTCCTGTACTATGTCCTCTAATGAGTCATTATGACAAACACGCACATCGTCGTCGAGACTAGCATATCCCGTCAGCTCGGCGTTCACATTATGTGCTTCAAGGCCAGAAAGGATGATGCCAGCGAGCTGTTCCTCATCCTCGATGTCGTCTTGGTTATCATTGCTAGTCTTGAAGCAGATAATGTGAATGCCGTTTTCCGCTAATGTGTGCCCGCTTGAGCCCCGTTGAGTGCACTTCTTTCCGAGCACCGGTGCACTGCGGAGAAGCAAAACTCGCAAAAGCAAGCTCTGCGGGTATTGCTTCTCTGCGGTGCACCGGTGCTCTGAAAGAAGCGCACTCAACGGGGCCGCAAAAACAAAAAAGTGTGAATTAGGCGAAAACGCCGTTCGAATTAAGCAGCTTGTAAGTGCATTAAAAACATAGCGGGACAACCAAAATTTTCAAATCTGTTTGAATTAACCAGAAGTACAAAATATATCACGGGCCGACTGTACCAAGCCGCGAGAAAAATGAACTGGACAAAGCACCTCCTTTGCTTAGATCTCACCAATATTAGCTTCCTCGACGTCCTGGGGAAGTAAATCTCAATCGGCAACTTCCTAAGTAGGCTGTTAGACGGGCATGGAACACCTTTCGCTATCAGAAGGCATAGCCGATTAACGGCCCGCAAGTCGCTCAAAAGGTCCTCCCAAGGGAATGTGCCCTCTCACCTTCGGGGTAGTGGTCCTCGACGACCACGATCCTGCCGCCGCACTCGCGGGCGTTGGCCACAATGGCCGCCTGGTCGATGGGCTTCACGCAAAACAGGTCCAGGACGCGCACAGACACGCCCTGTTTCTGCAGCTGGTCGGCCGCCGAGAGCGCCTCGTACAGAGTGATGCCCGCACCAATCACCAGGCACTTGTCGCCGCTGCCCTTGCGCACCACCTGTGGACACACCACACTGGCTGAGCCTCCCTCCTCCACCCCGTGGATACCCTCGCCGCATGGAAGGGGGCCGAAACTGGGCTTCCAGAGCCTGGCAGGCTCCTTACACTGCTGCACCCCAGTCTCAAAGAAGGTTTCCCTTTCTTGCGCTTTTCCTACAGGTGAGCACTGCCACATTAAGTCCAATGCAGAGCCACCTCCTTCAGAATCTAAGCACAATTTCTAACTGTGTGCGTACGAAGTCAATCATTGTGACCCAGGAAGAGCCCATGCACAGCAAGGCAAGCGACGTTTGAATCCGCAAGAATGCTATCGGCACCGAGAGCATTATGCCTTTATTTCTGCCCACTACGTAAACAATCCACCGTATAAAATTAAAAAAAAAAAAAACTCAATGAAGGCAAAAATGTAGCAAGCAGGAATTGCTCAAAAGAATGTTTTAAGAGCATTCAGTCGCACGAAAAGCTGAAAATTGAGTCCATTTTAAGAAGGAATTGAGACAAACATCTTTAGCGAAATGATATGGGTAGACCGAACTATCTGCTTTCCCCAGTACTAATGGGCAGGATGTACATCTTCCATTCTTGGGGAATAGATGAGGTCTCTGCCTCACCACACCGCACGAAAAACACGCCAAATGCCTTTCCACACGCCTTGCAGGAAAGCAAACTCACTGCCCTCCTTGAAAACAGGAAGTCAATCTCCCACGATCAAGTGGGCATAGCACAAAAGGAATGGGCAGGACAAAGGCGGTGCAATCAGCGCAGAGAGAAGAGAGCCCACCTTGGACTTGCCAATGGCGAAGCTTTCGTCGTTGCCATAAAGCACCGGAGTGTTTGGCCGGGAGGTGCGTATGAACACTATGCCCTGGAAGTTGGCAGCCAGCTCGCAAGCCCGCTCGCAAGAAACTGCGTCGCTTGGGTAGAACACCACGCAGCCCGGAATCGCTCTGAACATGGCTATGTCCTCCAGCGCCATCTGGGAGGGGCCATCTTCACCTGCACATCGAGAGGACCCTTCACCAAGTGTCCCAGCTGGCAGCGACAGACTGCACTGTAAGGCATCTCTTGCTAGAAGCTGCCGGTCAATGGCCCAAGAGCCCACGGAAAAGGTTGGACAAAAAAGCGCTTGTTGCTCGAGCGGGAAACAAAAAGCATCTTTTGTCAAAGGGAGGAAGAGTTTGCAACAGTGGAGGCACGACGAGAAGCGAGAAATACCCGCGGCAAGCCGAGCAACATTCCTACCGTAAGGCACCAAGCAAGAGCCCACTCAAAATTTGAAGATAATTGCAAAAAATAGAGAAGAGGCGCATGTGAGGTTATAGATTTTAGACACATGTCCTGCGCACATTATTTCAGATGTTCCAAAAGTGGGCGCTTAGAGTGGAATGGACGGATGCACTGTACTCTACGGTATGGTTTGTTTAATGTTGTTTACACCAATTACCTTTGCATTTCATTTAAACAGACATTTCTTATAGAGAATTTCTAGCATTTAACATCCTTCAAATCTAAGCACGCATATATAATCGAGCATCATGAGCTTCACCCCTACCCCCACAAAACCAAAAATGATGATTTGAAAGAAGATTTTTATTTTACAATCCTCTAAAAATTCATCAGCCGCTACATGGGGCGGGTTAATCGGTGAAAGGTTGATTAATCATTCCTATATTCTTAATCTGTGCCCAGCCCTAGTTAAAATGCGTACGAGCAAATGTTTCTCGTTTAAGCGTAAAGGCAGCAGCCGAGCAACTCTGAGCGACGGAGAAAAGGGGCTGACCGATGGAGATGCCGGCGTGCGAGCCGGCACACTTGATGTTGGCCTGGGAGATGGCACCCATGCGCAGCTGGTCAAAAGCCCGGGAGAAGAAGGTCGCAAAGGTGCTGGCAAAGGGCACCGTGCGACCCCTACAGCCACACCCTATGGCCACCCCAACCTGCGTACACCGCAACGGGGCTCAGCCAGGCAACACGGGCTTCAGGCCAAGGTCCACCGGAGCAATCTCTCCAGTGGGAGCAAACTCAACCTGGATCGCACTGTACATCAACCTACCTTTGGTGCAGGCGGAGAAGCTCTCGTACCAAGAAAAGGCGGAGACTGAAGCAATACTACAATGTATAGTTCTCTATCTGTGCAGCCTCTCCATTTTTATAATCTATTTAGACGACATTGTAAAGATCTCAGTTTCTCCAAACTTAGTCATGTATGCTGATGATACTAGTCTCTTTTTCTGGTACTTCCGTAGATGAAATAGAACAAGAAGCTAATAACTACCTATGAGATTTAAACAGGTGGCTCGACATAAATAAAATGCAATTAAATGCTGCAAAAACAAAGTATATGTTATTTACACCAAACAATAAAAAAAATCAATAAACTACCATGTTTGACAATAAACAATTGCATTATAGACCGTATAACCGATTGCAAATTCTTAGGGGTATGGTTTAATGACAAACTATCCTCGACAATGCAAACTGAGCATATAAAAAGTGACCTCTCTAGAACAATAGGAATAATTTATAAGACAAAAGACCTACTAACATGGTTGAATGTACAAATATACTACACCCTCTTTTATCAAAAACTTTACTACTGTTTACTAGTTTGGGGCACCACGGTTAAAACCAATTATAATGGACTTGTAAGTTTACAAAAACTTGTGTTAAGAATAATGGCCAACTCGAATCACTGTAGTGAAGCCGAAGGCCTATTTGACAGATTAAATATCCTTCCACTTTCTAAACTTTACCATTATAAGCTTGGGCAGCTTATTCATAGAAACGGAATAAGCGGCTTTGACCTCATTCCTGCAAATTTGTCTGAATATAATTTAAGGACAATGAGGACATACAAACTACCATCTATTAGGAGAACCGGAGAACCGGGCAGGCAGGGAGTCACGCACCAGGTTCTGCTCGGCGATGAAGCACTCGATGTAGCGGTCAGGGTGGGCCTTCTTGAACTTGTCCGAGTAGGTAGAGTTCTTGGTGTCCCCGTCCATGGCTACCACTCTGCTGTTGTTGGTGCCCAGCTTGGCCAGGGCCGTGCCGTACGCCAGGCGCGTCGCCACCTGTGCCCAGGCTCCTTTCTCAACTAGTGCACCTTCGCTCGGCACAGAGGAAAGTGGAGAATTGCAATGCAACGAAATCTCTCGTGCATACAATTTTTATGCGAATGGGAAAATTAAACATTCTCCAATGATTGTGCCACAGACAGGCTCCCAAAAAGTTATAAAAGATGCAGACTCTAAGAAACTTCTCTTAAGCAGCTCTGAAATAGGTGGCAAGTTTGTAATTTACTTCAAATACAGTTTCACAATGCCCAAAAACTGGAGAGCTGTTCAAGCACAGTCTCGCCAGACCTCTCACATGGAACAGTCATTTGTGCTGTCCTGGAGTAAATTGTAGAGCCAGAGAGCGCACTCCTTTTCCTTTTGCCGCCAACTCCTCACCAACGGAGAAGTTGCCAAACAATTGGTGGAAGATGCTTTCAGGGAGCACTGAAGCTATGCCAGAAAGCACACTTCCGAGAGGCATCTAACGGAAATGAAATGCAAGGAATGCCGGAAATCTTTTTGCTAACCCTTATTGGCTTCACTGTATAGCAAAGAACTAGCAAGAATCCTTGTTACACAAGTGCTCTTAACCGTCATTAAACCAACAACAGTTGACTCAATCGCGATCGGCCGAGTTATAGGGCTGCACCAATTGTCATTGAGCCGCTCACGATCATCAAGTTCAACTGAGCTGGCCTACCTCACTTGACTGATGGGGGTTCGAGCCAATACACCTAAAGATGGCGGCATCCGCTGCATTGCCGCCCATGGCCGGCGAAGCAGTTACCATTGCAGAAGATTGGGAGAGGTACCTAGAAAGCATCGTAGCAGTAAATATTGCCTGAAGACTATGTTCCGGGCCGGAGCTGCCACTAGAACGATCGTGGCATGTCTCAGAAGCCAAAGCTCGGCGGGTGCGGCCATAGAGGTGTCTCTGCAGATATAGTTCGTTATGCCTCTTGCGACAGGTTTAGTTTTGGTTTCAACTGTGTCCCATGGTGCAGGTCTCAACTGGGGTTGTTGGGCCTCTGTACCGTGTAACACATGTACAACTTAATTGAGCTCACAGTTGGGAGGTGACAACAATCATTTGCTTAATGGCAGTTGAGAGCGCTCGTGTAACTAGGTTATAAGTTGTCGCGTTGTAGTAGCAGGGTGTCTAAAAAATTTTAGTGAAATTCCCCGACTTTTCCAGGTTTTCCCTGACAATTTCAGGTGAAATTCCCCGACCACTGTAGAGGCGATTAAATATATAACACCATTACTACACAAGGCACTCAGTATTGAGTACTGTGAGGATCATTTTACACAAGCTTAATCCAACTTTCATATTACGAAATATTCGGGTTCGTCCAGTCCGGAGTAAACAAGCGCTTTCTTGCTGCCAACATCGTCAGTTAAGAGGCCACTTCTGGAAACCCGATGAAAACACGACACTCAACCACACACTTAAATAACCGAATGGCAGCATGGCCGCCAGATGCACACTTTCGAATACTTTTGGCTTAAGGCTTGGATTAGGTTGGGGTCTGCGGCCTTTTTATTTGTTACTACATCTAGCTCTAACTGGATCTAGCCTAGTGTCGCGCCCTCAATCCATTGCTTGGACTGGATTTGTCGGCTAGTTACTTTTGCATAGGGTAGCACACTCTACATCGAATGAGCAAAGCCCGCGCTCACTCTAAGCAGAATTTATTGCCCGTTTTTCTGCCCCCAAGTCCTCGAGTCTTTGCTCAGGGCACTCAATGGCGTTTCCGGCTCATTTTCCCTGATTGGGCTCTTTTTGACGATATCTCTCACAATTCCCCCGATTTTTCCCGGTAATTAAAATTTCCCCGACAATTCCCGATTTTCCCGGTCGCTAGACACCCTGAGTAGTATTACATTCAGCTAAACAAACTAGTAAAGGTGACAAGTGTGTCATTGAACCGACCCCTTTGTGTGGAAGTTCATCTCGGGCAGCTTCAGGCAGCCAAGACTCGTGAGAGTGACAGCGCAGTGGGAAAGAAAATTCTAACGACATCTCCGAGCTTTCATACTGTTGCATTGTTTACGGAACATTGCTAGCCATTGTGGACAGCTAACCTTTTCGCCGAGCTTGTAATTTGGCGGCTCCGAGAGGCGGATGTTGTCGAGGCTGACTTGGGGGGCGTCTGCTTTGGGCTCCAGGGGCCTCAGGGTCCAGGGACCCTTGTGCTGCATCTGCTTCTCGAGGGCCGCAATGGCCGCCTCTGCCTTGTCTCCGAGGGGCTTCCCATGCCAGTTCTCGGCATCCTCAACGCCTGCACACCGAGGCCTCCCAAATGTCAGCCAAACAGCACAAAGAGCTTTTGTGTGGTCACCAGAGTACTTCCAAGGCCAACAGACTCACGAGGCAGATCATGCCCTGTATTGCACTGGCTCAGCAAGCAATAAATACTTAGAGGGAGGCTGCAAAGACTCCATTTGTGGAAGCTAGAGTTTCAAACCGACCGACAATCGCTCGGTGCAATGGTGCATCTGTAACGCACAATTGGGGCCCCGACAAGTTAGATCAATGCACTTGCACACTAAACGTTACTGAAACTAGAGTTTAGGCCGGTGAATATTCCAATCACTCGTTCACCCACCTCCTTACCAACTCCAGAGGAGGGTCAAGTGCCCTCGCAACGATTGCAATTTCACTCGCAGCCCCTCCTCGCGATTCGAAGGAAACTTGTCTGCAAAGTCTGGAGCATAACGGGCCAAACCAACTAGGAGCGTTTGGCACGCCCCATCAGAGGACCAGCCAACTAGCTATGGGTCACGACAATGATGAAAATAATCCCTGCAGAAGGGGAACAAGAGGGACAAAGGACAAACGCCTGTAATGGCGAGGTCCCGGGTTCGATAGCCAAACCAGGCGGATTTTTTCGGTCGCTCACCAGTCACCTAGCTGTGTTTGGAGATTTGTGTTTGTCCTTTGCCCCTCTTGTTCCCCTTCTCCAGGGATTATTTTCGTCATTCTTGTCCAGCTCACTTGCACCTTTGCATTTAATTGCATTATAATTATAGCTATGAGTCATCTGTTTTTTTTTTATTGCATGTGCCTTTAGGCCTTCCTGCTAATAAAATGAAAACTAATTCATTTCGACTACCAGGGAATCTTTCTAAGTCCAACAGAAAACTCCATTCCATCGCACCTTCTCTGCAATAAGCCTCAACCTGACTGCGCGCACCTCGGCCGGGGATGTGAGACTTGCCTGCAATGCCCTTGCCCTTGAAGGTCTTGGCGAGGACAGCAGTGGGTTTGTTCTTAACGAGAGCTGCGTCCGAGAAGGCCTTGCAGAGGGCTTCCACATCGTGCCCATCCACCACATATGTGTTGAAGCTGCAAACCAAACAACACAAGTTTGCAAACATGAAATGAAAGGACCTCACCGGTGGCAAGCAAGGGGCAGCAGCCAAGCTTCGAGAAAATAAACCCCAGCATGGAAGTAAACTGAACTTTGCATCGAGTTATTGGGATGCCGCCAAAAGTCTCGCTAACTCTTAGATCAAAAACCCAGATTGAGAACCTAAAAAAAAATTTCTAAATTTCACACAAAAATGCTTGATTTATCGCGACCCTTTGGACAGTACCTATACACAGATTACATTTCTGAGGCATTCAGTGGCTCGTAATAGACAGATGTTTTTTTGTTTTCTTTGGGAATAGCATGTTATTTTATTCAAACCTTTCTTATGAAATGGTGGGCACGTACTGGATTTGTTGTTTCATCACATAAACTGTTTGAATGCGAACACAATAATACAGAACGCTGGCATTTGGTGTTTACACTGAAACTGTTAGCAGAGACCTCCGTGGTAGCGGCAAGGCCAGCTAGCTCCGCGTCTGCTTGCTAATTGGCGCAGAGATAGAATGATGAGCTAAGAATCATTAGGCCGTTGATTTGATGCCGGCCAAGGCATGTTTAGAATTCCGTTTTTCTCCTCTTTGTACAGATTGTCCTACCAAGTTGCATTGCACATTTATCAACTTTCTACGGCATTCTGTCACACTTTCATCGGAGACCCCATTCTGCATTCCCGAGGACATGGGACGCTCTTAGGTCCCGGGTAAAACCAAAGAGGGGCAGAGCATGGCCTGACCCAAAGGAGGCAAGCCTGGTCTGGTAGATGTCCATCTGGTGCTGGAAGGCGGTCGGCTCGCTCTGGCCCAGGCGGTTCACATCGAAGATTGCCACCAGGTTGTCCAGATGGTAGTGGCCGGCAAAGGACAGGGCCTCCCAGATGGAGCCCTCTGCGGACTCCCCGTCCCCGATCACGCAGAACACCCGGTAGCTGGGGGGGGGGGGGGGCACGTCGCACTTTTTAGTTTCGCCCATGCCACTTCAGGACAGCGGCAGCCACCTCTCTCCACTGCGTCAGGTGTCTAATCCGGACATTTGGCAAAAACGTCGGCGATAAATCCCGCGGCCACGACTGGCTGGCGTCGGGCTTGACCCCTCGGTGCTGGCCAATCACGTCAGATTCCTTGCCGACTTTTTTTAACAAGCGTCTAGATTAGAGCCCCAGCAGGGCAAGAGACAGCATCTGGCAAGGGTTTCAAAGGACAGACTTAAAAGGATATGGGAAACAAAAATTGAAATACAAATTTCATTCTGAAACGAGTCAAGCATGACGGATAAGAACAGTAAATTATAACTGCACATTTGGATATTGAACGACTGGCTATATTTTTCCTTCCAAACATTGCCCTTGAGCAAGCGCTCTAAGAGAAGAGAACGGAGAGAGTGATTAGTCACGGGTTATCCGGCGCAAATAAAACGATTCCCCGCATTCGTGACGTAGCAAGGCTGATGGAATTATGAGCCTTGCCGTTGGTGGCATCGTCAGCATTGTAGTGGCACCAACAGTGTAATGCGTTACAACCGAGCCATTCGAAGCACCCGCAAGGTGACGAGAGTTTCACGTGAGAGATCAGTCGTGCGCATTGTGTTCGTGTAGCCCCCCCACTCGAATGGCGTTTCAGGACGATTTCCTTGGGAATATAAACTTGAACGACATGAGTAAGGATGAGGACACCGACACCGCCCTAACTGCATTCATTTGGAAAGCAGAGCAGCAGGTGTCTGAACCCACGTAGGAAACAACGGACATGCCAGCCGGGGGGCAGAAAGTTTTTCGTTGTTCATAAACTTGATCAGCATAGCACTGTTGACCGAGTTGTTACCACAGTTCTCAGCCATGCAGAAGCACGGCGGCATCTCGACGTTAAAAAGCGCAGAATGTCTTCGAACTGTACAGCAAAGTCACAGGAACAACTCTTCTCAACGAGTCCACCATGGCATCTCATTGACTTCCTTTGCAAAGGGGCAAAGTGCACGGGCAGACTTCGCATTGGCGTTCAGGCCGAAGTGACCCACACCAGTTGAACATACTTCCAAAGAGCAACGCTCTTCAGCGCGGCTACGCAACAGTTCCTGCCATGTCATGACTACGTAGGAAGATTTCCAACGTTGCCAGGTAAACTCCCAACTAAGCTTCACAAACATCCACCGGGTGCCTAATGAAAGGTAAGTTGAATGAGCCTTAAATTAAGTTGTATTTTTGTGCCTTTCAGCGAAAGACTGGCATTTGAGGTTATGGTGCAACATGCAACACATTTAGGCCAAAAAATGAGCGCTGGAAACTAGTTTCCATACCCCTTTACCACACTGGTGTGTAGCGCGTGCTTTGCTGGAGAAGAAAACGACGGATAGTGCACAGCCCCCATTTTATCTCGGTCTTTCGATAAATGCACCTACCGGGCCTTCGACGCTCCTATTATTCTGGGCACGTATTGCCCCCTGTACGAGCCTGGATCGACCGTATGTTCTTCCAAACGAGGGATTGCATGAAGAAACCCCTTTTCACGCAGGTCTCCCAACGCACTTGGCAAACCTTCCGAGAATACCCTGCCAGGAGTTTCCCACGGGCGGGTCCAGGCAGACCGGGGGTCACTCACCTGGCCTTGTCGAAGTACTTGCCGACGTAGGCCATGCCGGCGGCGCAGCTCAGTCCCTGCCCGAGCGACCCTGTGGCCACGTCCACGAAGTTGAGGCGAGGCGTCGGGTGGCCCTCCAGGTTGTTGTCTATTTTGCGCAGGTTGAGGAGGTCCTCCGCGGGGAAGAGGCCCGCCTCAGCCCAGGCAGCGTACAGGATCGGCGCGGCGTGGCCCTGCACCCGGTCACGTGCATACAGTGACCGCTTCAATGGCCCCGATCTCACCGGAACAAATGCGCAGAAGGCTACATCCGGGAGGAGCAAACTGCAGACTCAATCTGTGCGCCACATTGTCAAAAGACAAGTGTACCAGTTCAGCGTGTACTTGTTACTGCTACAAGAATACACGAGTCAGTTACACTGCAGAAACCCAATCGTGCATTTTAAGCACCAACCACGCATTATTTCGGCAGTGTTGTGGAGCGCAGACAGAAAAAGTGACTGATAGCATATGTGGGGGATGTGTAGCTCGTGCACTACTGGTAGAGAGTCACAAACACGTTCACTAGTTGTCATTCTGGTTTGAACATCCGAGTATTTACCGTCGTGTGACGAGTAGTAAAATACCCACAGGAATACAAAACAATTGGATTGTGCAAATATTCTAAGTTTCGAATAGTAGTTTCGGGTAATACATTATTTGATATTCACTTCAAGATGAACTGCGATATTCATACATGTTGATGGCGGTGGGTCAGACCCTGAGAGTGCTTCTCAACAAGCACAGTGCACTGCGGAGAAGCAACACTTGCAGAGCTCCCTTCCGCAGGGCATTGCGTAGAGCAATATGATATACATGAAGAGTGGCCGCTGAAGCCCTACCGTGGCCCGGCTGTTAGGATTCACAACACCCGATAGCTGGTGGAGTGGTGCCTAATTATTTATACACTAGTTATATTTGTACCATTAAGGAAGTTTTACTTTGATTTACACAATTCTAAAACAATTAGCAGCTTCAAAATTTTTCATAAATATTACGACTGCGACTCTGGCAAAACGCATGACTTGGCAGCTGCCATAGCGTCAGCCCAGGGGGGGGGGGGGGGGGGGGGGGGGGGGTGGATGCGGCGTCTTGCTGCCAACACGTAGAGTTCTCGGCGTTCTTTGCGACCAAGGCGAGACTTTCAAAGCGCAACCACGTGAAAAGTGTTGAGCGTCGGGTACGTCGCCGAAAAGCTCTCACGTTTTCCAAATTCAAGTGAGCCGACATATTGGGCCACCGCCCAATATGAATGGAATAATATATATTATCCACCCATTTAAATAGCAGCCATCTACGTCTCTAGCCACTTAGTGAACTGAAGCACCTAAACAAGAAGCCAAGACCAACTTCACGACAGTCACATGGTGCACTGACAGTCAAGTGAGCAGCTGGAGTGTCTGCACTCTATGGATATTGCTTCTCCACAGTGTACCATTGCTTGGTAAGAAGCACACTCAACAGGGCAACCCCACCACAATTTTGGAAAAGTACAAATATTGAAGTTGCATGCTTAGGAGAAAAGCACTTCCAAAGTGGGGTTGGTGCGCACGTGCCTGGTGTTGGTACTATCCAAGTGGCCCTAACAACCTGCTCTGATCATTCACTATAGTCTTTTTCATATTAGACTGAAAAATATTTGCATAGGGCAAGATTGTTAAGTCCCCTCGACTTGGTGGGTATCAATGCGAAAATCAAGTCATCCATTTCCTGCACAGAAGCTGCAGTGACGTCAAAACAACACAGAGCTCTGGTTGGTTTTGACTGAAAGGATAGTGGATTGACCACAATGCTAGATGCTTTTAAATCTGCCCACTATTTTTTCAATCAGCCAATGAGAAAGAGCTCAATGGTTCGACATTGCAACCCCTGTGCTAAAAGCAGATGTACTTGACCTCCGCGTAGGTTTCATTTTATGTCAAACGCGTCGTTTACTTGCCATCCCAATGAGGGTATTGAACTCCGAGGCCACAGTACATTAATATGCGGAGCACAAGTTCGTTCACTTCTTGCTACAGGGTTGCAATGATGCAACAAAAAGCTCTTCATGGTCAATTGAAAAAAAAAAATAGCGGTCAAACTTTAAGGCATTTAGCATTGAGGTCATATCCCACTACCAGTGGCGTACCAACTTGTTTTTGAGTGGGGGGGCAAACCAGACCCTCTCCCCCCCCCCCCCCCCCAAATCGAAAATTCGGCGCAACTTTTGTCCAACTTTTCTAAAGATTTGGCAATGATTCGGCAAAATTACAACGTTAACAGACTTAACATTGATAATTTGTTTTTTCTCACGAAAAAAATTTTGCTTCTTCTTCTTAAAATAAATACAACTTGTAGTGCATATTGAAAGAGTTATGACTAAATAAGGTGATATTCTAGAAGATAATTGTATCGATGTCGCTTTTGTGTGTTTACTTGTAATTTTGGTGTATGCTTCCAGAAAGTGGCGTGACAACGAGGTTGGGTAGTAGCCGGCACAGTCACGAATCACACTACGAGAGCTTTGATTTTGAGGCTTCATCAGCGCACGCCTGCAAGTGTGTTTACATTGTTAAAATAAAGGCAATCACTGCGTTCTTACTTTCTTTGGTAGTCGCCGTTTCGTGCGCGAAAACGGATGCAACGGTTGCTGAGCCTTCACCAGAAGAGATAACAATATTGTAAACATGCATGTTTTTCGATTTGAGTCACTTGACGTCGGCTTTGCATGAAAGTGCGCGTTCCATATTCGCAACGTGCCGTTTTTAACCTTTAAAATTCCGGTTTCTGGTGTTCAGACACACATGGACGTTTAGGAAGATGGGGAGAGTTAGGAATGGTCGGATGTGCAATGTCGACCATGATAGTTCTGTGTTTAACGAATATTTTTCATCAGTGTTTACTAACGAGTGCTTGGACTCCATCCCCACTCTCCCTGAAGAGCTTTACGAGCGCATGAATCCTATTAACGTTAACTCCGCCGGTATTATAACATTGATTGATAAACTAAAACTTACTTCGTCCGCTGGAACCGATAACATCAACTCTAAAATTTAAAAGAAACACCAGTGTTATTTCGAGTAAGTATTTAAAACTTATCTTTATTCAGTCCTTATCTCAAAGGTGCCTTCCATCTGACCAAAAGGTGGGAAGGGTAATTCCCAGTCTTTTACATTTACATTACATTTATATTCTAGTAATTCGTAGTTTACTTTAACTACTTTTCCGAGTGACTTCCACTCAAATTACAAATTACTTTCTAATTTTAGTGGTTGTTTTGCCTATCAACACAGAAAAGATGTCGGAAGGTCAGCTGATATTTGCAGAGGGGGAAGCATGCGGAGTAGAAAAGGGGGGGCTGGGAAGGAAGAAAGTGATTTAGATAGTCCAAAAAACCCCAAAATTTTAACGAGCCCCCCCACTGCAACAACACTGCTACGAGGCGCGGGGAGCGAACAGACACGACGCAAGAGAGGTCGAGTAACTGTGGGATTAGCTCCGAATAGTGGCGTTTCTTTGTATTCCGAAGCTCAAGGAGACTTGACGCATTTGAAGAAAGGGCTTGTCCCGCTTCTCTCCAATGTAGGAATTCTTGCCCACTACAGGAGGTGCACACACTGCTCCTTTTACGGTGCAGGCGATAGAACCCCTAACAACGACGCTCACGCCGGATGGGCTGCTCGTGTATCACTCGAAGCGCGTTAACCCACCCCCGCGCCTGCGTTCACGCTGCTTCGCGGTGACGGTGTGCGGCTGCTAATTACAAATCTATTAACCCACCTAGCCCCCCCACCCCCCGTACACGCCGCTTTGCGGCGTCCGGTCGGCAACCCAAGCCCCGCTGCCCCCCATGCACTTCCGTAAATAGAGTCGATACGATTTAGTTTAGCGATGTTTCGTCAACAACATTCGTTTTTTTAGTGGTAATGGTAAAAAATAAATGTAAATATCGCCAAATGCCTCGACAAAACAAAATGTTCGAGAAAAAAAATAAACAGAAGTAAGCCGGCCCACACCATAAATAGAATCCGGGTCTGACACGTATGAGGCAGACATCTCACCACTAAGTTACGCTACCTCTTCGGAAACTCGCATTGCATCCGCTGCCTATGTTGACGGCGGCAGCGCCTATCTCCAAGCAAGCAAGCAAAACTTTATTTTGAGTAAGGGCCTACGACCTGGTCTGGACGGCCCGTCCGGCCCATTTCTCGCGGAAGGATTCCGTTAGGTTACCGTGTAGCCTTGTTCGTGGGGCAAGGCTCCACAAACCAGCCAATCCGGCGTGCGTGAGCACCGTTGCTAGGGTTTGTATCGCCTGCGCGTTAAAAATATGCCCGCGCGGGTCGGGGGGCAGTGCCCTTGGTATTCCTTGGGCGCCGCCGGCCTGTGTCTGCTCTGCCCAGTGGCGCCGTTTCAGGGGGGGCAAAACGCATGCCTTGCCCCCCCACTCTGAGAACTGGGGGGGCAAGTGCCCCCCTTGCCCCCCCGGTTGGTACGCCCATGCCCACTACCCTTCTAATCAAAGCCTATCAGAACTCTGCATCGTTCCGACATCACCACAACCCCTGTGCAAGCACAGTTATGCGCAAATGAAGCTTGGGAACAGCATTCACAAGTTCAGCTGACTTTTCGTTTAGGCATGGCCCAGTAGTGAAAGACAATTCAATATGAAAATACTCCGCCAAAACCACCATTCACTTTAAATTGACCACTTCGAACCGAAAATCCACTACTCGCACACGCCTACAATACAATACCGTTATATTTTTGTGGATTTTAATAATACATCAGCCAAGAACTCTTGTGCGTGGGAGGCGGTGGTAGCCCACTGAGACGTCGCCTCCTTGTGGCCTCTTTTCTTCTCGTCCCTTTTCCGAAATACCCCAGTCTCGGGTTAAACAAAACTATGGTTAACTTCCACCAGCTCGCCTGCACCCTTACAATTTTTTCACTATCATTCCCAGCTCTGTTGCTAGTCACTGCCAACGGGAGGAAGCACGGTAAGAGGCGGACATCCCGGGCATTCCAAAGAGATCCCGTGCCATTCTCCCTCCGCCCGGGACCGCCGGAGACTATACCTCACGCACTAAAACCACAAAATATATGGCACAACAACCCTGCTACAGAAAAAACTGCGCACAAAAATTTGGTTGCAACAAATCTTCAAATTGCAAAGCAGTCTTAACTAAAGCGGTAGTTCCACTATTTTTGTATGAAGAGTGATCACTGCTTCATATTTACCTGCACCTCCTGCACCGGTGCAGAGAAGCATACGGGCATTGCCAGTAGGTGTATACTGAGATACGACCGGAAGCACACTGCCCTACGCTATTGTGAACACCCACTGCAGCAATGATATTTTTCAGCTTTATGAACAACAAATTGCTTTCTTAAAAATTGGTATTTGACCACCTATGCCACCCCGATGATAAAACCTGGTACGCGCAACAATGCTAGGGGTTCAAGTGCAAAATAATGAGCCCAATGATCACACGTTAAGCATGGCATTAGCAACTCCTAGCCTAAAAAATATACAAAGCAGTGTGTAGCAGAAACAATAGGGAGTTTTAGTAGATTGTTTTGATACCTGCTATACTCCTAGTATGGACAATCAATAATGATAGGATGCATGTGCAAAGGTGGTGGCACAGTATCCGGTATCATTATCGGAGTCATCGGAACGATCTACTAACACTTTGTTGCATCTCTCGCGAATTGATAGTTTAGCTCGATTGCCCTATTTCTTTACAAAACGGTTTCCCCGGAAACAACTGACCATGTTGAAAGAGGATAAGCATGGCATCCAGTGGCATTAAAAAAGAGGAGGGGGAAAGCAGTCTTCTCCTCCCACTTGACATTCCAGATATTCCCGTTCAACAATGTGGGGGGAAGGGAGATCCCCTTGGCCCCTCCCACACGCAAACCCGAAGCCTCAGGTGGCTTAAGCGACATCTGTCCATCCGCCTGGGCCTAAACGAGGCTCTACCAAAGCGCACCTTGGAGAGGACGAAGCGGTCGCTGGAGGCGTCCCTGGGGGCGTCGATGCGGTAGCGCATCGTGTTGAAGAACAGCACAGACATGATCTCTGCCATGGAGCAGCATGACGTCGGGTGCCTGCACAGGGACACTGGGCTCAGTCGCAGGGAATCGGCAGAGAGTCACGGCCCCTCCCTTACGCACAGCAGATCGAGGGTAGCTGAGACACACAGTTCAAATCATCAAATGTTAACTGATAAAAAGTACAGAGAGGCATATATACGTTATGCCCTACACCCTGCTGCAGGCTAAAAGCTCTTGCAAAGCCTTCCACTTTAGAAGAGCAAACACAGGACAGGAGGCGATCCCCCCCTCTCTTAGGTTTAGTGGAAGAGTGGAGGGCTTTGTGGGAGGAGCTTGTTGAACTTTTCTCAACCTGCAGGTTGAGAAAAGTTCAACCTGCAGGTTGGCCAACTGAACGATATGCGATTAGCAAAGTCCCAATTTAAAATCAATTATCCCAGCCCACAATTTGTTTCATGGCCCCTTTAAGCTGAGACTCCAGCCAATGCTATAGGCGTTAGCTAGCCAGCGCTTCTGGCTTTGAGACATGCATTTCTAGCACGAGTGCTCGTTCTGCGGAAGAGCGCTTCAAAGCAGTGACCTGGAGCCCTTGTGCTTGTGGCATTGGCTGCAGTCTCAGCTTAAAGGGACAGGGTATTTATGCTTACCAAGTTTTTTACTGTCACATATGACATGGGAGCAAAACTACCCAGAACACAATTTGCGGCTCGAAGTCAGTTTTCCGCTTGAAAGGCGCCGATCGAGAACTGGCCTGGCCAGTTTGAGTCGCGCTCACCCTTCTCCGTGGTCACGTGCTGTTTTCTATGGTTTAGACAACCACTAAAGATAATCAAAATTGTGGGTCATTGAAGGTAGACAGTCAATACTAAAAACAAACAAAAATATGGCACCCATTTTTTATGGATTCTAAGAGAACTGCCCGTACGCTCATGAAAGAAAAAAAAAGTTGCACAGCCACATGAATTTAGGTAACTTTCCTCTACATTTCCTTTTCCTCCCCAGTCCGGTTTCGAGCGGCTCAATTTGTTTATGTCATTAAAAATATATGTGAGGCTGAAGCAAAATATTGTTTGGGCAGTCCGACACCATGATAGATCGCCTGGCAAAACAAACAATATATTTTTTTTTTTTTTTTTTGGGGGGGGGGGGGGGGGGGGTGTCAGTGTCCCTTTAAAAGACATGCAATGGAAAAACAATTTTTTTAGAAGGCCTAGAAGGAAAATGAATGTCACTACAAATTTAGAACGAAGTCGCGAAAGGAATTTGTAGTTGGCGCCCACGGGAGCCGCCACTGGTCACGTGGTAGACCTGTGCGCCGCCACGCTGCGCCGTCGCCGCACGCTGAGCGCCGACGGTCGCACGCGCTGTTCCACGCCGCCGGAAGGGAACATTCCGGTGCGCCACAGGTATAGGGTCCTTGCACTGACGTCATATCGCACACATTTGAACACCAAGTAAAAGGAGGAGAGAGAAGCTGCTTTTGTAAGAATTTTGAGTGACAGGTTAATCTTCTGTAATCTTCTGGGAGGAGAATAGCCACGCCTGTGCAAATCCGGGACGCACAAAGGAGGATCCTGATAAGAGGGGAGCTCCTTCCCCTCTTCTCTGGAGGGCAACGGAAATGACGTCCTGTGCAAGCCACGTATATCACGTGGTGCTTGTACCATTTCAGGAGCTTCCCTTTGGGGCTCAAAAAGTGACTTAGCAATCTTCGTTTTTTGTTACGCGTCAAGCGAAGATGAATAAGTAACTTCTAGAGACCATAGAAAGCTTCCGAAAGAGCGCAAGCACCACGTGATAAATAGCGGCCACTTTTCCGCGGGCGCCAACTACAAATTCGTTTCGCGCCGGAAAAAGTTTTCTTGTTCGTACAGAAAGACTAAAGTGCCCTCGATGCGGCAACAATGGCTTAGCCAAATTGGCTGGTGATATTGGTCTACTGATTTCTTCAAAGCGTGTAGGCCTATTCACACAGCACCGATCCGCGTTTCGTCCTCGGTGGTTGTGACATAACGCAAGCTCCCGTAACGTAAGGAACAGCACCGTGTGAACGGGACTCGAGAGCAATTAATTATTCGTGAAGCTGACTCGTAATCAAGGATAGCCGCCACTGCCAGCGAGGGAAGCTTGCTTAACCACCGCCATCCTTATCACTCGGAAATCTTCCTCAAACGGGGCCGCTTTCTAAAGCTACCGACGGCGGCTCGCAAGGTGGAAGCCCCGACGGTTGCGAATGCAAATATCCGAAAAGGCGCCAACGAATAAACAATTCAGAAAGAGCAGGGGGAATTAAAGGAGGCGGACACTCGAGAAAGTACGAGCAGCCCCGGGCACCAAAGTCGCGCAAAGTGGCGCCCCGCCCCTTGCAAAGCAATCCCGGAAGCCGGGTTTGTAGGCGCGCGAGCGCCCGAAGTTCTGGCAGACGGAAAAGAGGAGAATCCACGCACCCACTGTTGGACGCATTGGTAGCCTGGATGGAGAGAATCCTGAGCTTATGGGCGATGTCACGCAGTTCCTGGTATTTGTCCATCGTGCTTGGCAGGCGGCGGCAGACTGCGTCAACGTCGGCAGGGCGCAAACTGGTCTGCGGTAGCCGGCCGAAAGAAAGTTCCTCTTCTTATCAGCGCCCGTCACGTGCCCTCGTCCCACGGCCGCGCTACCTTGCGCCGCCGCCGTCCCGAATCGGCGGGAAATTACGGTTGGTTACGCCACTCGGCGACGCTTTCCGCCGACGCCACACGACGGATTTCCGCTGTCTTTCGCTTTCCCGCTGTGGCCCCGCAGTTCCGTCAGGCAAACAGAAGATGCTCAGACGCGAATCAATCGAGTCGGCGTAGCAGACTGCCTCGACACCACTTCATCGCAGACAACATGCGCTTATGATAGAAAAACGAAAACGCCCGCTTTCAGGGGTGGAAGCAAGCCTCAGCCTTTCGGAGCAGGTCTGGGAGCAGCAAAGATGCCCCTTTGGAGCAGCTTTGGAGCAGCTTTGGAGCAGCTCAGGAGCAACAAAAATCGAGTTTCGTAGCACTATAAGCAAATCTTGGAGCTGCTCGGTGCTATAAGCACAGCTGTGTTTTTCGAAATACAAAAGGAAATATAAATAAAAAAGCATCTCGATGTGACGTTCTAGAACCATTTCCAAACATGGCCTTTCCTTAAATATATTCCAGCCCATAGCAAAAAAGATATTTGAATGGCTGCCATTGAGAACTGTCCTGGTGGTAGCGGGTTGGTTCCTCTCATGGATTTACAATAAGAGGCATAGGCAACTAAAGAACAACTTAAGCCTCATGAAAACAAGACATTGTCACTGCTTAACAGCCTAAATCGCACGTTCCATGAGTTAAAAACAAAATCATTTCAAGCTGCAATAGTATGGTATGAAATAAAGTCCAATACTGACTACAGTTCATCATTAGGAAATACAAATGTTTCAAGTCCCTGTTTAGCAAACAAAGGTATTCCAATACTCTGAACAGAGTACAGACCAAAAGTATTCCAATACTCAACGGAGTACAAATCTCAACATTTTGCATTGTACTCAACAGAGTACAATATTTTGCACTGCACTCAACAGAGTACAATGCGAAATATTAAAAACTTCATGATACCACCTTTACCCTCCCTGCTCGTACATACGCACTTAATTAACCCTTACTAAAAGAGGCATCACTGACTAAATAGAAACAAGAAAGCTTGATTGGGAGTTTAATAAAGAAAATGACTAACAAAACTAGCAAGACCATAATAATAATAATAACAATAATAATAATCTTTATTCGCAAGAGTAATGTTACTTCGAGTGGCTTGCGAGGCAAAGACAGAAAGGCGAGAGCCCGTACCCTAGTGTGCCTGTCAGCCAGGTTTTCCTTGTGTCAACGAAGACCGCAAGTTTGCCTGCTTTCTTGCACAGGGGTTGCGTGACGTCAAAACGCCGAGCTCTTATTGGCTGATTAAAAAAAAAAAGTAGTGGGTATATCTGAAGGCAGCTAGCATTGAGGTCTACCCACTCTCATTTCAATCAAAACCAATCGGAGCTCGGCGTCGTTCCGAAGTCACCGCATCTCCTGTGCAGGAAGCAGACGACTTGCTGTCCGCATTGCTTGGATGTTTTCCAGCAGAACGGTTTAGAGTTTGCTTCGCTCAGCAGGACATTCCTACTGTTCTCCTCGTCCTCCCGCCGGCTTGCTGCTTGGGTGCCAGAACGTGTATTCGCCACGTACTTCATCTACAAGAAACTCTACAGATGATTGAGGCAACCAATTATCGCTTTTATATGTCATGTTTACGACGCGAATGAGGAACGCGGAAGCAGTCTCAGCAAAAGCATCCCGAACATGCACAAATAAATATATATTATGCCAAATGTTTATTTTTTATAGAGTAGTTATTGCTTTCTCCAGAAATTAGATGATAGGTGAACAAAGGACAGCAAGCTCTTATGTACATTTATATACCATAAGGCCCTGAAACAATGTCCACCCATTATGAAAAGGTAAATTGTGTGGGCGTGTGTGTGTGTGTGTTTGTGTGTGTGCGCACGCGCGCGCGTGTATGCGTGCGTTTGGGGGGGGGGGGGGGGGGGGGGGACACTAAAACTGCGCGAAACGGAAACTCTTCAACTTCAAAGTTTCTTAACTTTTCCCTCACCACAGTCTCGGGTTTTAAATAATGATTAACTATCACCAGCTCGCCTGCGCACTCGCCGTCTTCTCGTTACTGATACATATCGCAGCCACGACGAACTCGCGTGTGCAATAAGTATGTGGGAATTCGCAAGGAACTGCCCTGTCACGGGTACGGCGGCACAACGCGGACGCAACGCATTCGCGCTTCCCACTAGGATATAGACGCAAGGACCCCCTCAAACTCGGCTGTCATGGGAACCAATATCGCGTGCAAAAATCACAGGCAAAGAAAAAAAAAAAATGCGGGAACGATTTTGGAATTTGCATGTCATGGGACCCGACATAATACGGATACTGCAGATTCGCGTGTCACGTTGCGATAATAATAATAATGTTGTAATAATGTTTTATATTGCACCAAAAATACATGATGCAGGAGGCCTCCAGAAAAAACTGCCACATAGACAGCTTGACAAAGCCGAGGGCCCCCATACTGGCAGCGTCGGGGCAAGATAAGATAATAAACTATACAAATAAAAGTAAAAATAAAATTGGAAACATTGTGACGAATCTTTTCACACAAAAATATAAAAATACAAAAGAAAGATAATAAACTATACACATTAGAAATACAAATAAAAATGGACACACAATGGTGAATCTGCTTACACACAAAATATAATGAATTGTTTATCATAGAAATAAAATTATCATATAGTGACAAATCGTTTGATTCACACACACACAAAAAAAAGAAGATCAACAAAAAATTAAACAATAGAAGTTCCTGGGAACAAATCACCTCCCCCCCTCTTTTTTTCAGTATAAGAGTTTAAAGCATCGTGAAAAAGCTACGCAGTCCTTTAGAAGAAATATGTTCCAGCTGGATATTTTTATCATGTAATTTATTTAATAATCTTGGTAATTTGTTTTGTATCATTTCTAAGCCGTATCTTGTTCTACAGGTGTCTATTTTCCAAGGCTCATTTTTTCGCGTGTTGTGTACTGCAACATGTGGTTTTAGCCTTGCCAAGTTTCTTATGGCACGTTTACACCTGAAAAGAAATCCGCTGCCGCGGGAGCGGATCCGCTGCCGCGGGAGCGGATCCGCTCCCGGCGGCGGCGGCGACGAGCTGGTTGTGTTTACATCTATTTCCTTCGAGCAGTGGCGGCAGCGCCGGCTGCGGCAGCGGTTCCCGTAACGTCTCGTCAAATATGACGAGAAGGCGCGAGAGTTCCCGCCTCGGCTCTCTCTCTCCCGGGCGTTGCTGCTCCCGGAAGAACGCGTACTCGTGACGTAGGCAGCGTCGCGCCGCACAAGAATGTCACATCCGGTCAGCGAAACGCCTCGTTCGGCGGCAGAAATAGGTCCCGGACCTAAACGGCTCGCCGCCGCGTTTTCCGCCCAGCGTTTCGCCCCAGCGGCAAAAGCTGGGCGGATCCGCTGGCGGGTCCGCAAGTGTAAACGTACCATTAAAGGGGTATTCACACGAGGGAGAAATCCCGGGGATTTCTCCCCGGCAGGCGCATTCCACGACGAAAAAGACAGGCTTTGCGATGTGCAAGAGCCTCGCGTTTGCATCTCGTGATGCGCGCGTGCCGGGGAGAAATCCCCGGGATTTCTCCCTCGTGTGAATACCCCTTAAATGGCAAATGTTATTTCTTGTTTCTTGTTTATATTGCTTACAGAGGCGGAAAGCACGAGGGAACCCGCGCGAGCACGCTCGTCGCGTACCGATACTGCAAATCACGCAATAAATAAAATTTAAAAAAGAGGGATGAAGGGATTCCTTTTTTTTTTTAGGGGGGGGGGGGGGGGGGAGGGGGAGAAGGCGTTTGTACGAGACTATAAGGCGATTTAATGTGTGTGTGTCGTCTTTGGAATACACTCGGTCATGTTCAATGCCAATATGCAAAAAAAAAAAAAAAAAGATTAAGGTAATGACGAAACGAAGCTATCGTCTCGTCGTTTGTCAGAGTTCTGATGAGTACTCTGACAAAGCGACCTGTCCACGTGCCATTTTCGGAGATCACACTTACACGCCGTTGAAACGACCACATCGGTATGGTGCTTTCATAGCAATAGGGCCTTCTAGCCAACCGTTACAGCGTACCGCGCACTACCGGAGCGTTTTTAGCGTGCTGTGAAGCGCGCGCCCCGTGGTCACGGTATCACCCCGGCGCGCGCTTAAAAAGCCTGCTTTAAAGGTTTCGGGAGTGCGCGGTACGCGGTAAAGGTTTGCTTAAAGTCCCTATCTTTTTCAGAATTAACTAAACAAACACAACACGGTAAATAAACCACTATGGCCAATAAAAAAAAAAAAAAAGAATACTCCAATAAATAAGACCCTAAAAAAAACGCTTGTTTGGTTAGTTTTGGCGCAACATTTGCGCTTGGCAGCAGGATGGTGCAGCAAAAGTGGATTGGCGCACAATGGCGCAGCGCTTCCAACCCTCCGCTTTTGAACTGGAAGAACGAGACTCGGGGAGTATTCCCAGCGTTCACGAGGGTGCAACATTCCACGATTCCAGAAACCCCGTATCATACACGGCTTGCACTGGCGTGACATCAGCGGCCATTGTGACGGAGCGCGCGTACCTCCTAAAGCGTACGTTTCTACCGAGTTGATTCTTCTCGGCGAGGACACGTAGAAGCCAGTCAGCCCAGAGCTCGGGATAAGAAAGTGTGCCAGTGCAGTGGACGATGCCCGCTGGACCAGTCGTCTTTCTTTGGCCACGTGGTCCCGCTCCCGCCCATACCCAAGCGCAGAGTGTGTGGTAGGGTGATGAAAGGGTGATTGGTCCGGAGACTGCGTAGCCGTTCCGTCAGCTTCTCCCTGCGGTTACAACAGCCGCGAGAGGGGTTCACGTGACAGGCTCCATAGGGACCTAGCGTTCCACCGATGCCGCTCAGCAGACCTCGCCCGCTGTTTTCCCCGGAAATAACTTTACACGCCGTTCCAGCAGATCAAAGTCAATTTTGCTATCTTTTCTAGGGTTGGCGCTGATCACTGGAATCAGTGCGTATCTGAATGGTCAGCAGAAAAAAAGCAGCGCAGCAGGGTGTTTAACTTGGCCAAAGCAGCAGCAAAGCGTGACAGTAATCCTTTTG